AAAAAAAAAAAAATCCCAGGCAGGAGAAGTCAGGCTGTCTAGAAGGTAAACCAATCCCAGGAGCACCTGTATGGAAGGGATAGCCTTGAAGAAACCCAGGGCTGAGGACAGTGGGGTGTTCTGGTGTGCTGGAGTGGAGGAGGCTATGTGATGGAGTGGGTTGGGTGGGTCTGTGCCCTCTGCCTTCTCCCTTCCGCCTTCCTGTGGCACCTTCAGACCCAGATCTGGCCCGGGGCATTCGTGTAGGCTCCTAGCTTCCCAGCTTCTCCAGGGTGACAAGAAGGAGGAAGCCAGGGAGACAGAAGCCACACAGAAAGTAATGAGAAAACGGCCCAAGGGGAACTGAAATGTAGGCTGAGCCCCAGGCACAGCTGGGCACTTGGTTTTTGGGCAAAAGCCCAGGGCCTATTTTCATAAGTCTGAGACCTGCTAGATTTGTTAAAGATAGCCAAGAGTGAGCAAGCTTCCCACTTCTGCCCCTGTAGTTGGGTGTTGAGAAAGGACATTTGTCATCTTTTCCTGTGCCCCAGAATGCTCTGGGCAGCCCTTTCCTCTAAGAAGCCCTCTGAACTTCCCCCAGACTGGACCTGGTCTCCACACCACAGACAACTGTGAGAGATGACATTGGCCTCCAAGGGGCAGCTGGGCAGTGGAGCAGTGAGGTGTGTTCTTACTGTAACATGGGAGTAGAGCCCGGCCCTCCCTCCAGCAGGGGGAGCTGTGGGTACTGGAGTAGCTTAGCTGGAATGGGGAAAGGCTGGAGTTGGGTGGGGGTACTAGGAGGCCTCTGAGGACTTGTGGCTATGGGCACAGAGCCATGAGAGGCAAGGTGAGGGTGGAGGCCCATACTGGGTGCTGGGAGAGAAAGGAGGCTGAGCAGGCCTCAGGCCAGGGCCTGCTGAGGTTCCAAGAGGGAGCCCCAGGGGCCTCCAACATCACACCTTGTCTGTTTGGGATGGAAAAGACGAGCTAAGGGGACGTCAGGAGAAATGCGTGTATCTGTGCTATGGCAGCCAGCCCTGTTTCTATAGCATTTAGCAGCTTGGGCCTCACCCAGGGTCTGGGCAATCTTGGGTGCCTGGATTGGCTCTGTCCTGCCAAAGGCTGTATTTGGAGCTCTGGCTGCAGTCCAGCCAGCTAGCCACACACACAGCTCACTAGCTAGCAGGGCTGAGGCATCTCAACCTCACCAGGCTCCTCCCAGGGTGGTTGTAGACCTGATGGGTGCAGCCCCCTCCCTTGTTGTTTAGCATGTACTGTTCATAGGACGAGCCCCCCAGCCCAGCTGTCTGGGGTTGCTGGAGGAGCTACCTTGAGGTCCGGTCATCTTAGCAAGGAGCTGCATCTGGAGACCCTCTTTGCCCTGATTCTAGTAGGGCCCACCTGGTTGCCCACTTCTCTGGCCCCTCTGGTTGTGTTCAGGGGAAAGCAGGGGTGGCCTGTGTCTTGCATCCCCCCAAAGGTGA